ACTATAAACATTGTGGTCAGATCTATATGAAATACTGTAAACATTGTGGTCAGATCTATATGAAATACTGTAAACATTGTGGTCAGATCTATATGAAATACTGTAAACATTGTGGTCAGATCTATATGAAATACTGTAAACATTGTGGTCAGATCTATATGAAATACTGAAATAGTTGTTTACTGCTCTTATGTCAGAGGCCTTGAATAAATTCTGTCTGATAAAGCTGTGTTTCCTTTAGTCGGCATCCAGTACAGTTTTTCGAACCGGACCATGTACCGATTGGTACGGAACCGTATGCAGAACCGTGTCCTGAAACACAGTTTGGGCAGCCCCCACGGCAAAAAGCTAAAAATAGGTAGGGGAATTCCAGAGTTTGCTAGTTTTTCTTCTTCTAAGAACTTTGACAATACTGGTGCCATGTCGAAAAGAGACCCCTGATTACCAACTGAAATATCTCAATGGTTTTCAGTCGTTTTTATATATCAGAGGCACTCTTTGCTTTTATTTTCAGAATTTCAATATTATCTGTTACAGATAACTACATCTGTTCCACAAAACAGAAGAACTAAATGGTGCAAGAAAGGGGCTTTGATATTTTCTTAACATATGTTAAGATACAAATTCAAAGTCAAAATTTGATCAGAAATAAATTCTGATGTCAGCAATACAATGGCACGTATTATAACAATGGGACATATTATAACAATGGGACATATTATAACAATGGCACATATTTATATGAAGTAACAATGCTATAGATATAAAAGCCAGTCAAATATTGTATGTTACCATATAAGGCCCCTATTCACAAAATCTGAAAGGACAATAGTCCTCAATAAAAACTTTGAATATACACTGTATTCCATCCAAGAACAAAATCCCAACCATTGAAAATACCAGAGATTCAGTAAACTAAAAAATGTTTTGGGTCACAAAATTGTTGAAATTTCTACTTATCCTAATCAGATTATTTTTTTTACTGTAAACTTATTTCCTAAAATCGGAATTTTATTTGCTTACGTTAGCTCTGTGGGTATAAGCTTGGTCATCATTAGTTTGACATCCACAGCTCTGTGGGGCATTAAAGATGGGTTCCCTCATTTTCATTTATGAAAATCAAAATGCTAATACTTATATGAATAAAAAAGTAGAGGTGTTCTAATGACTTGGAAAAATACCAGTTTGTCTCACATGTCCATAATTAATTCATAATTAGCTAAATTCCAATGAGTGACTGATCAAAAGAGGTGAAAAAGTATTTTTTTGTTTATCCAGACTGTACATACATGGATATTTATGATTGGTTAAAACTTTTAGTTATATGCAATAAGAACATAATGATATGATTAAGAATACATGATAATTCATTAGAAACACCAATTAATGAAATAGTTTGCTTAATTTGACACTAAAAAATAAGGAAACCCATCTTTAATTTGACTTTCATAGCTATGCAGGATATTAGTTTGACTTTCATAGCTCTGAGGGCATTAATTTGACTTTCATAGCTTATAAAGACATTAGTTGGACCTTTATAGTTATGTGGGACATTAATTGGATCTTGAAAGCTATGTGAGAATTAGCTTGACTTCCCTATATTGGGCATTAATTTGATCTACATAGCTCTATAGGGTATTAGTTTAACCTTCATAGCTCTGTGGATAATTAATTTGACCTTCAAAACTTTGTGGGGAATTAATCGACCTTCATAGCTTGGGGAATTAGTTTGACCTTCAAAACTCTGTTAGGGAACTAATCGACTTTCATAGCTTGGGAAATTAGTTTGACCTTCATAACTCTGTGGGGAATTAATCAACCTTCATAGCTTGGGATATTAGTTTGACCTTAATAGCTTGGGGAATTAGTTTGACCTTCATAGCTCTGGGAATAAGTTTGACCTTCATAGCTCTGTGTGGTATTAGTTGGACCCATAGCTCTGTGGGTATTAGTTGACAACATAGCTCTGTGGGGCATTACTTTGACCTTCATAGCTCTGTGGGCCATTACTTTGACCATCATAGCTCTGTGTGGCATTAGTTTAACCTGCATAGCTCTGTGGGGCATTATTTGACCTTCATAGATCTGTGTGGCATTAGTTGGACCTTCATAGCTCTTTGGGTATTTATTTGGATCTTCAAAGCTATTTGGGATATTAAATTATCTTCATAGCTCAGTGAGGCATTGGTTTGATTTTCATTGGCATGTGGGAAATTAGTCTGATTTTCATATCTCTACCTGGCATTAGTTTGACCTACATAGCTCTGTGGACTTTAGTTTGACCTTCATAGCTCTGTGAGGTATTATTTAAGCTAGAAAACTCTGCCGGGAATTAATTTCAGCTTTCATATTTGACTTTCATATTTCAGTGGGGTAACAGTTTTATCTTCATAACTCTTGTGGGGAAACTGGCTGACCTTCACAGCACTTTGGAAAATTAGTTTGACTGTGGCTGTGAAGTAAAAGCCTATATTTCCAAATTAGGCAGATGTAATGATGATGGTCAAGCTAAAGTCCCCAAAGATATGGAAGTGAGAACAAAAAATAGGCCAGAATGTTCATAATTTGTAACCTTGATAAAACTGTCAACAAAACACCTGCAGGATACTGTTAAATCTTTTGTCATTTATAAAAAGTAGGCTATCATAATTATCATTTGGAAAGACTTAAGCCCTGTGAGTCTACCACATTTGTTATCACCAGTCTAAACAGTTGTCTTTGCCTGTCTTCATTAACCGATTAGTCTTGAAGAAAGTCAACACTTTAACCTCATTTCATCCCTTGAATAACATAATATATGAAAAACTATAGACAACGTTTTACTATTATTTGGTACGGTACATAAAGGTGAACTTACCTATTGACACTAGCATTTATACCAGTCAATTAGTTGATATTGTTTCTGTACACTACCATACCGTATTGTATCAGAACTTATACTAATTCTTCTAATGTGTATCATTTACTAAATATAGGTTACCAAATAGGCTCTACACTGTGGCGTGACGACAACAACAATAGGCTGTCAGTTGTCCATTATAGGCATTTATTACATCTAATTTACTGTCCAATACAATGCCAAATATCATTGGTAAAAAAATGATGGCCTACACTCGAAAAAAATGTTTACAAATACTGATTAGACCAATGAAACAATTATTTCCTCAAATGTGAAATGACTTCTGTCCCTGATGAAACAATCGACCACTGACAGTAGAAAGCACAACATAAAAATATCGATTATTCACCGCGGGGTGTCTCTAATTCCCCAGTGGAACTCACATACACCANATCGAGTAGAAATGAAGAAACCTACTTATTTAAGAAGGGCGTTAGCGGGGTGAACAAATTACACCCCCTCCTCCCACCTTTAGTTTGCATTGACAAGTATGTGGTCTAAGGGAGATAACTATCATACCACTTGATTGTTGTCTGTAGCATACATCACAGGCATCCGTAATGGTGACCATTTGCATTATAATAGTCGCCTTCTCCGATTGAACGTAGTGTCCTCTCTACCATTGTAAGTCCAAAACGGCGCTCTTTCACTATGTATCTCTTTACGATTTAAAAAAAAATATCTATTTAGAGCAGAAAAAAGGATGAAGTGAAGTAGCCCGATTTCACATATATTTAAATTTTCTAGAGTTTCAGATAAAGACTATCGTCGTGAGAAAACCACGCCCTTATCAATAAATCGGCAATTAAAAAAAGACTCAGTCATTCGGTACCGGTAACAAATGATTACTTGGAATCATTTGGTTCATTTTCATGTGGTCTAAGATGGGGAGGTAAATCAACAACTATTGTGGTTCGAAATCCGCAGGCATTCGTTACGAAAGTCAATTGGACATTCTCAGTATAGTGAATGAAACGAAGGTGTTAGAAGCCGGAAAGACCGCAAAGCAAAACAATAACACAGGCATGAAGGCATGAGGTGAAATGTTTTATTAGATTTAATGCTTTATATTTCGCTATTTTTACCGATTAGTACAAGCATGCGTGTCTTTTAATATGTTATGTATACGTTGAACTAGATTTGTGGTTTTGGAAACCAATCTGCACCACTTACTCACTTGTTTACCAACGTTATGCCCTCTTAAAAATTCATGTCGGGATTTGAAGCTTGGGTTTTTATAAAGATCAGAAAGGTTTTGATGATGATCAATAATAGGCGCCCAATTATAATTTTATTTTGTGGGACAGCACCCTTTCTTTAAGTCTAATATTTGTATTTGTATTACTTTACAGTAGCGGTATCTGATACTGTACTTGTAGTGCTCTAGTAAAATGGGGTCACCATTAAGTCCACATGATGCTGCTGCTCAGTTAACTACATTTAAATCCTATGTATCATTAATAGCAGATGAATCTACTCCAGGCAGTAAGTGTTTTGTACTTTTTAAAAATGTCAGTGTGGGTCAATTTAAAAGGATACTAGGCTACCTCCAAGAATGGACATAAAATTTAAAGATTGGTTCCCTTATTTTCATCTATGAAAATGAAAATGCTAATACTTATATGAATAGAAAGAAGAGGTGTTCTAATGACTTGCAAACAGACTTTTTGACCTTTCTTGATTGGTCACTCATTGGAATTCTGGTGGTAATTCTCTTCTAATTTGGCTAATTATGAATTAATTATGGACATGTGAGACAAACTGGTATTTTTCCAAGTTATTAGAACACCTCTACTTTCTATTCATATAAGTATTAGCATTTTCATAAATGAAAATAAGGGAACCCATCTTTAACATTCTTTTTATGAATTCTTTTACAAAGTTTCAAAATGAATTTGAACCTTTGTGAATTTGAGTACTTTGTTCTTACTAATCAAGTCAAAGTCTTGAAATTTAAAAAGGTGTCCTGATGAAGGTTGAATATTTGAAACTTGTTTGATGAGATGAGCTCCTGGAAAAGAATGTATTATTCATATTTGGTTTGAGACAGCTAATATCATTGTTATAGTGAAATTTTTCTTTTGTCTCGATTTTAGTTGCGGAAAAGAAATTGAAAGCAGCACAGGAATTGAGTGAAAACTTTGAGGTATACTTACATTTTTTTAATTGAAACTTGGTGGTAAAATGCTAAAGAAGTGAACCTATCTATCCCAAGAGGGACACACCAGTCGCCTCTCAATTGCATTTACCGAGATACTCCAGTCGAAATCTTGACTTCGACTACTTAATATTCAACCAACTCAGCACCAACCCGGACCTAACACAGTCTACAGCCAATAGGCCCTCCATTTAACTCCATTGGATTATCAGATTGCAAACTTTCCAATGAGATCAATGACAAATTTAAAGTTGGACACTCCCACTTCTTTCTTTGTTTCACTGAGGCCAATTCACAAAAAATTGAAAATTATTATTATTTTAACAGACAGTAGTATCATCACAACAATATCCACAGTTCCTAGCTGAAGCTATTCAAGTTTTTGTAAGAATATTAAAAGATGGAGAGCCGTTGTTTATTGCTGAACAACCCATGCAGGTTTGAGACCATTATTTATTTCAGAATTATTCACACTACTGTATTACCTGCGAACATCATCGCAAGGCTTCTCAGGTGCCTCTTTGCAAGCAATCCATGGGAGCTGCGGTGGCTCAGTGAGTTAGACGCTTGCTCGCTAACCTGAAGGTCCAGGGTTCGATCCCGACATAGGTCGAGATAATACCTTCAGATTTTTCAACCCGGTTTCCCCCTGTCAGTGATGTAGGTAAGAGGAACTGACATGGAAAAAGCGTCTAGTCGTTCGGATGAGACAATAAACCGAGGCCCCGTGTGCTACAGACTGTGCACGTTAAAGATTCCTTGACAGTTGGAAATCGAAAAAGAGCAGGCTAATGCCGATGTCCTGGTAAAGTTTCCCTCATTGCACCCTGCATGTCGTTGCCCGTCTTCATTAGCCCACATGGTGCAGAAAAGTAGGACGTGAAACTCATTCATTTCATTTCTCATTTCACCCAATGTATTTCAAATCTGAACTCTGACAGTTGTCCCCCCTTCCCTCTTGATCCTGTCTGCCCCCTGTTTGCACTCCAATTTCCAGGTTGATTGCACTGTGTACCAACAGTTTGAACGCTAATGAAACATTTTAACAGTTACTTTAAAGTGATACTACGTCTTAGAATGAACATAAAATTTAAGATTTTTAAACTTGGCGAATAAGAGTCAGTAGATATACCTTGTGTCATAAATAATATAACAGGATCCTTATATAATCCGATAAATCCAAAAAACTTAGTAATTATCCATAAATATGTAATTAACTATTGAAAAACGCTTAATATCAAGATTAAGCGTTTTTCAATAATTACTTAGTTTTATGAATTTTCCAATTTTCTAGATTTTACAGGGATTCTGTTGTAACTTTATGACACCAGGTAAGTTCACTGATAAATATATACTCATATTGACCATTTCGAGAGCTTAAATTTTATGTTCATTCTAAGACGTAGTATCACTTTAATAAGAAATTTTTTTTTTTTTCAGCAATTACGAAAGTTATTACTTGAAATTATTCATCGTATACCATGTAATGATCATTTGAAGAAGTTTGTTCAAACAATTCTATCTTTAATGTTTAAATTACTCAAGGTAAGTGGACTACTTTTATACTTACATGTGGGCGTATATTGTGGTTGCCCCTGTCGGTCCGTCCATTCACATTTACCTTGTGCTCACTCTACAGGCTACAATTCTCTATTGATTCTTTTGATTGTTTGTATGTGTGTCAATATCATTATGAAGATGTGCACTATTGAATTTGGTGATGATCCGATGATTTTCTTCAGAGATATCGCTTAAAACTCTGATATCGCTTTTTTTCACTGTTGGGGCTCGTGCTCACTCTACAGGCTACGATATAGAGGTTGTTTTACAGTTCACATTTAGCTCTTTATCAAGCTGCTTGTGGGCGTATTCGCTTGCGAGACTTGCCGCAAGCCTATGTTCTTTTAGGATTTGAGGTGTGATGACTTTATGATTCCAATGCTTTCTCATTAAAGATGGGTTCCCTTATTTTCATTTATGAAAATGCTAATACTTATATGAATAGAAAGTAGAGTTGTTCTAATGACTTGGAAAAATACCAGTTTGTCTCACATCTCCATAATTAATTCATAATTAGCTAAATTAGAAGAGAATTACCAACAGAATTCGGATGAGTGACCGATCAAGAAAGGTCAAAAAGTCTTTTTTGTTTATCCAGACTGTACAAACATGAACATTTATGATTGGTTAAAAGTTATGTTATTATATGCAATAAGAACATAATGATATGATTAAGAATACATGATAATTCATAAGAAACACCAATTAATCAAATAGTTTGCTTAATTTGACACTAAAAAATAAGGAAACCCATCTTTAATTGAGGTTCCAAGGCAAATGATATTACAGAACTTATTTGATGAATACTGACTTTGGATACTGATGTTGGCTATAACTCAGAATGTATTTTTATGTTTTTTTATGATTTTTCCAGGTTGAAAATGAAGACAATGTTTTAGTTTGTATAAGAATAATATTAGAACTACACAAACAATATAGACCACATATTAATGATGAAGTGAGTTTTTCGTTACTAAATACTATTTTTATACGCCCACATCTCTCTATGTGGACGTAAATTGTCGGCACCGCTGTCGGTCCGTCTGTCCGTCCATCTGTCAACATTTGCTTCTAAACACACTAGATTTTTTGATGGAATCAAATGAAATTCGGTATGTGAATACATATTCATAAAACGAAGATCAAGTTCGAATTTGAGCTATTTTCGACTGTTAGAAGCAGAGTTATTGTCCTTGCCCCAAAATCTTGAATATGCTATTACTCTCTTAGTTTTCAACCGATTTTGATGAAACTTAAAATGGATGTTATTGGAAACCGGGTTGAAAAATCCAAAGGCATTATCTCGACCTATGCCGGGATTGAACCCTGGACCTTCAGGTCAGCGAGCAAGCGTCTAACTCACTGAGCCACCGCGGCCCAATCACTGACAGGAGGAAAAACCTGATTCAAAATCTATAATTCAATACAGATCAATGTCTAGTATCTGGCTTAAAAATGACTTTATATTTTTCAGATTCAAGATTTTATGCAGTTTGTGAAAGGAATCTATAATAGTTTGCCCTCACACCTACCCAAGATATTTGAACCCCGAGCTACAACTAAAGTCAAAGACGTCTCAGAAATTAACATTGATATTTGGTTACAAGAGATCTATACAACAACCAATGTGCAAACAGATAAAAAGAATGCAGACAATGCAGCTATATCGGTAGGAACTAGTTATACAGTCAAGTAACTAGCGTTGAAACGGTTAATCAGTTAACCGATTTCGGGTAGTATTTCATGGGTAACCGGGTCTGATTTAAGGTAATCGGTTAACCGTCAATTTTATAAGAAGTAAAAAGACAGCAAGTTTTGTTATTATTTTTATTATTTCAATCGGGTACGAGTTGCTTCTTGACTGTCAATCAGCTTCAAGCTTATTAATATTCATGAGTACGGATTCATTGAGACAATAGTTTTATACCAGTTGTGGAACCAGTACACTGATTCGCGGCGACTTCAATGAAATACACCCATTACACTGACCCCACAACTGGTATAAAAACCTTTGATCTGTTAGAGACTGTAGCAATGAGTGACAATGGCGCCAGTCTGTCTGAACACTGTCAGGCCCGCTCGTAATCTTACATTGAAGTAGACGCGGGTTTGTACCGACAATTCGCTGGGAACTATCCAAAATCTTCCTGGGTATTTATTTACATTTACTCTAGGTTAGTTAACGGTGAGTTACCGCAGCAAATGAGGTTTTTGACCCCTTTTATAATCTTTAGTAATTAACCAGGATTAACCGGGTAACAAATGGTTATTGCCGACGATTACCCGGTTCGTAAAATTCACTAACCGTTTCAACACTACAAGCAGCCTAATTTCGTGCTAACCTATTTTTCATGCATTTCCGGAAAGAATTAATAATTTACATGTGCGACCTCGCGTGACCTCCGCATTTGCTTGTTTTGATAAACATGGGTTATCTCTACAATATCAGCTAGTAGAATGAATCCAGTAGTTTCAAGCAAGGTAAAATGTATTAATGTATACTTTGACAAATACAAAATGGAGGATCTCAGTTATTATCAAACCTCACAATTTTTTATCGGCCGAATTTCCTTACAAGCGGTAATCGGAATTCCAAGTGTTGTCTGCTAGAATGTAGTCCAACGAATGCAGTCACGTGATCAAGTGGTGGATTCCGTGTCAGCAGAAAAATTCTATGGAACACAAAGTGGACCATATTCTTATGTTGTTTCAATGATTTTTAGCAATAAATCATGCTACGTATCTTATTTTGTCAGTCACTATTTTTTTTTTTTAAATCGTGGTTCTTTGAAGGAATTGTCACTAGTTATAATGAATTGATAGTAAAAATAAATACTAAGAAAAGTTAATTATACCACCCGGTATCCATACAACGTTTTTTTCTCGACTTATTTATAGATCAAACATTGTACACGAAAAGTAGGTGACGCCTCGTATAACTATATATGACGCGAAATTACTTTTTGAGAAAAAAAAACGCAAAAAACTATTTGTACACGTATTTTGTTAAAGTCTTTTTTATTATTTTTTTTACCGCTATACGTGGTTTTCATTCTTGGAAAATATAAACCTTGTATAACATTTTGATATCTCCGGCCTATTGAACCAAAAACTTGTATAATAATACAGTATACAAGGTTTTTCATTTTCATCCGCAGAAAAAGGAACATTGAACCTTGTATAGTAATATATTTTACAAGGTTTTAAATCTGACTGTTTATATACGTGTTATTTAATTGGTGGTTTTTGAGTTATTTACAATCAAGCTAAGAATACGAGGTTTTGATCACAAGATCCGCGCTTTTACGAGCTTTCGAACGGTACCAAAAAGTCAAAATGACCAAATATGGCATATACGAGGTTTCAAGTGGTCACCCACGATATATGAGTATAGGCTGAAAATTGGTTTAAATTCATGAAGCTCTTTGGATAAAGTGAACCATTGTTTAAATGATGATGTAATATGGATTACTTTTTTACTTACAGTACAATATTATACCAAGAGGGATGCAATCTCTAAAAGTTCTAGCTGAGTTACCAATCATTGTTGTATTGATGTATCAACTATACAAAACCAATGTTCATCCAGATATGGCTGAATTTATACCTTTGGTCATGAATACCATTACTTTACAACCATTACCTGCTCAAAGGTAAGCTTAAAGTGATACTACGTTTTAGAATGAACATAACATTAAGTTCTCGAAATGGTCAATATGAGTATATATTCATCAGTGAACTTACCTGGTGTCATAAAGTTACAACAGAATCCCTGTAAAATCTAGAAAATTGGAAAATTCATAAAACTAAGTAATTATTGAAAAACGCTTAATCATAATATTAAGTGTTTTTCAATAGTTAATTGCATATATATGGATAATTACTAAGTTTTTTGGATTTATTGGATTATATAAGGATCCTGTTATGTTATTTATAACACCAGGTATATCTACTGGCTCTTATTGGCCAAGTTTAAAATTTTTAAATTTTATGTTTATTCTAAGACGTAGTATCCCTTTAAGTAATAACTGCTGCCTTTGATTTCAGAGCCTTGTTCTCACAGTTGTTGCCAAAGCCCCATAACGGCCTGGTCAAGTACTGTGCCATTTGTTAGATTCTCGGATATCATTCTTAAATCATTAACCAACTTTTACTGGTTAGGTATATTAAACTTTGATATATTTTTGAAATTTCAGATCAAGTCTAGCTTTTAATAAAGAAATATTTGTGGATTTTATAGCAGCTCAGATAAAAACCCTGTCATTTCTGGCCTACATCATCAAATTTTTTCAGGTAAGTTCATTTGTAGTTGTATTTTGCCCCGTGTTCTACAGGCTGTGCACATTAAGGAAAGTTAGCCCAATTAGGTGCAGAAAAGTTTCATTTCAGGACATATAGTGTCTTTGCCCCTTACTAGCTAACTGTTAAAACCTTTGCTTGTATTTCCTTGTAAACTCTCCAGAATCAACAATAAGTGATTTTAGTTTGGAACAACCTTGTGTATTCTTAAAGATGGGTTTCCTTATATTTTAGTGTCAAATTAAGTAAACTATTTGATTAATTGATGTTTCTTATGAATTATCATGTATTCTTAATCATATCATTATGTTCTTATTGCATATAATTAAGAGTTTTAACCAATCATAAATGTCCATGTACGATAGTCTGGATAAACAAAAAAAAAAAGACTTTTTGACCTTTCTTGATCGGTCACTCATTGGAATTCTGCTGGTAATTCTCTTCTTAATTAGCTAATTATGAATTAATTATGGACATGTGAGACAAACTGGTATTTTTCCAAGTCATTAGAACACCTCTACTTTCTATTCATATAAGTATTAGTATTTTCATTTTCAAAAATGAAAATAAGGGAACCCATCTTTAAACATAAAATGAAGAATAAGGTCAAGTTTATTTATTTTTAGAATCAAGTTAACAATCATGCACAACAAATGGTACAAGGTCTGTTAGGTTTACTATCATTGTGTCCACCTGAGGTAGCACACCATAGAAAGGAACTACTGATAGCAGCTAAACATATTTTATCTACTGATCTTAGAAACAGTAAGTATATTGTAGATCAAGGGCAATAACTTTACAATTTCTTGAAGTACAAAAGAATATGCATTAAGCCTGAAATTGAAACGATGAGTGTAGATTTTTATACGCCCACACATAAGATGGGCGTATATTGTAATCACCCCGTCGGTCTGTTGGTCTGTCGGTCCGTTCACATTTGGCTCGTGCTCACTCTACAGGCTACAGTTCTTTATGGATCCTTTTGATTTTTATTTTGTATGTCAATGTTGTTATGAAGATGATCCCTATTGATTTTCATGATGATCGGATAATTTTTCACCGAAGTATCGTGTCTGACTTGACGTTTTTCTCTATTAGCTATATTGTGCAACTCGTGCTCACTCTACAGGCTACAATTTTTTACAGATTCTTTTGATTTTTATTTTGTGTGTCAATGTCATTATGAAGATGATCCCTATCGATTTTTGTGATGATCGGATAATTTTTCACATATATATCGTGCTCACTCTACAGGTTACAATTCTTTACAGATTCTTTTGATTTTGTGTGTCAATGTCATTATGAAGATGATCCCTATTGATTTTCGTGATGATCGGATAATTTTTCACCGAAATATCGTGTCTGACTTGACGTTTTACTCTATTAGCTATATTGTGCAACTCGTGCTCACTCTACAGGCTACAATTCTTTACAGATTCTTTTGATTTTGATTTTGTGTGTCAATGTTGTTATGAAGATGATCCCTATTGATTTTCGTGATGATCGGATAATATTTCACCGAAATATCGTGTCTGACTTGACGTTTCACTCTATTAGCTATATTGTGCAACCCTGTAGTCACTAAAGACTGTTTAATCATTTCTGACAGCTGCCAGTGGGCGTATATTACCTTGCCTGGCAAGCTATCTTTTTAGTATTTTTATTGAACAATAGTTAGATTGGTATGAAAGGAACACTGAGGGAGATATAAAATAGGTCTTGTGTGAAGGGAAAATATTCAATAAAACGGTTTATATAAGGTTGGGATCATGTTTCATTACGGTAAATGGTAGAAAATCGTCTGAAGCTGAGGTGGTCGTGATAAGTGTTAGCTACCTTCTCATATATATAATATTATAGAGAGAGTCGTCTATTGATAGAAACAGATGCCTGTGGGTGACACAGTTAGTTTGAGACTTCTTGTTGGTTAATATTGTTGCTTTAGATATATTACTTGGTTCCCCCTCGACCACCTCCATGTACATATATATATATTATGCATATTTTGTACATATGTGTACGGAGCCTCTAAGGTGCAATTTTCCATACTTTTATAATTAACTCCCTTTAATGACTAATAGCACGGAATCCTCGCGTATTTTAGAAATTGTGTCATGTTCAAATGTTAAAAAATTGCTTTTCACGTATTAATTTGTCTTCAGCATTTTTAATTTTTGTTATAAACGATGAAAAGAGAACATATTAATATGCCAAGTGGAAGATAAACGCATGGGATCTGATTTTTCTTTTTACAACGTAATATGTGTTTGCATAGTCATAAAATAATTCCATGAAGCTGTATTCGATGGTTTGGTATTTTATTTATTTTTTGAAGAAATTTGTTAGTCCTTGTGTGTAACAAATGATGAAAAGTCAATTTTGAACTTCTAAGCGTGCCAAAATAATTTAAACTGTGTTAAAATGTTATTAATTATCAGTTTTCTTTTTCTTTCCTTTAAATCAAAGAATCGCGATTTATTATCCCAATAAATCGTATCGTTGAACGAGTATTGTTCAGTGTAGGAATCGTTGCAGCCCTTGTTTAAACGAATTAGTTATTTCATAATAGCGAAATAACTAATTCGTTAAAACGAAAAATATTTGATAAAATTACGGAAAATTGCGCCTTAGGGGCTTCGTATATATGACCATATATTATTAACCTATTATAGAATTCGTACCCTGTATTGATAAGTTATTTGATGAAACTATATTAATTGGTACTGGATGGACAACATACGATTCATTACGGTAAACATTTACTTTGTCTTACAGAAACATAGCACCATTAGGTAGTAACATCATAGTCTGGTCAAAATTCTTCTTGGGCGTTTTTGTGGGCCGATTGGATTAGGTAGATTAGCTATTTTGTGCGTTTGTCAGCCAGGAAGATTAGGCTAATCGGTAAATTTGTGAGCCAGTTTACCCAGGAGGTGGTTAGGCGATTCGATTAAGCTTTTCCAAGATGGCGGCATGTGGAAGTTGCTAATGTAATCAAAATAGCGGTCTTTCATTGGTTGTCAGCAGAGGCAGCCATGTTGCCAAATCGCCGATTTGAATTTTGCATTTGTGGACCACTGCTAATCTAAAACAAACTGCACCAAATCGTACTACCTAATCAAATCGGCCTACAAAAACGCCACTAGAATGATAGTAAACAAAGACAGATTAAGAATGATGCAAAACTCCACACAAAAGCAAAGAATATTATGAAATTGGCATGAAGCGATTTTTTCATACAGGTGTATTGATAAGAAGTACTAGAATTTGCAGCGAAAAAAATCGTCACGACAATCGCAAAAGAAGTAGGAATATGTTCTACTTTTACGCGAAGAAATTTTGCGCGCAATTAGCTTAACCAATCAGATGCGAGAATTTTGGCTAACAGCGTCAACGTCATATCATCATGACGTCAAAGATGGCAGAAAACGGCATAGCCGACTTATCAGTCCAAACAAACTCTAGGCCCACGAATTTCTTTGGATCCAGAGGAAATAAAACAAAATCTGGAAAATAATTAGAACTAGTTAATATAAACGCTAGCTTAATAGCAGGGCTTTGTTGAATGCCTCCATTTTGTCGCTGATGAGCAAGGACGTTAAAATAGCGATAATGTCAATCTTCGATGACAGTGGAAATCAAAATTCGTCGAGCGCTTTTATTTTGTGACGAAAAATTTCGGTTCGCACGAAAAAAATCGTCCCGTGGAAAACCACCTTTAATTGAAATGATCATATTTTTTCAGACCACTAGCATACAGTACACTAGCTGATTTAGTTCACCATGTTCGTACAGCATTACCATTAAGTGATCTATCACTAGCTGTTAATTTATTCTCTAAGAATGTACATGATGAATCACTACCTAGCAGTATACAGACTATGTCCTGTAAACTGTTACTAAACCTAGTAGAATGTATTCGACAGAAAAGTGAACAAGAAAAGGGAGATGTAAGTAATTTTTTGTATTATAACATGAAAGAAAAAAAATTTTTAACTGTAAATTATTAATATTTTACTGTAAATTGTTAAATATTTTACTGTAAATTAATGTTTTTCCTTCTAGTTGTTGATATTTTACTGTAAATTGTTAATATTTTACTGCGAATTGTTAATATTTTACTGTAAATTAATGTTTTTCCTTCTAGTTGTTGATGTTTTACTGTAAATTGTTAATATTTATTTTACTGTAAATTGTTAATATTTTACTGTAAATTGTTAATATTTTACTGTAAATTGGTAAATTGTTGATATTTTACTGTAAATTGTTTATATTTATTTTACTGTAAATTGTTAATATTTTACTGTAAATTGTTAATATTTTCTGTAAATTATTAATATTTTACTAGAATTTATTAATATTTTACTGTAAATTATTAATATTTTACTGTAAATTGTTAATATTTTACCGTAAAATATTAATATTTTACTGTAAATTATTAATATTTTACTGTAAATTGTTAATATTTTATTGCAAATTAATGTTTTTCTTTATAATTGTTGATATTTTACTGTAGATTATGAATATTTAACTATTATTGTTAATATATTGTGCTGTATCATTACTATTTTACTGTAATTTGTTAATATTGTTAATATATAACTGTAAATTGTTAATATTTTACTGTAAATTGTCCATATTTTCTGTAAATTATTAATATTTTACTAGAATTTATTAATATTTTACTGTAAATTATTAATATTTTACTGTAAATTGTTCATATTTTACTGTAAATTATTAATATTTTACTGTAAATTGTTAATATTTTACTGTAAATTGTTAATATTTTACTGTAAATTGTTAATATTTTCTGTAAATTATTAATATTTTACTAGAATTTATTAGTATTTTACTGTAAATTGTTAATATTTTACTGTAAATTGTCAATATTTTACTGTAAATTGTTAATATTTTATTGCAAATTAATGTTTTTCTTTATAATTGTTGATATTTTACTGTAGATTATGAATATTTAACTATTATTGTTAATATATTGTGCTGTATCATTACTATTTTACTGTAATTTGTTAATATTGTTAATATATAACTGTAAATTGTTAATATTTTACTGTAATTTATTAATATTTTACTGTAAATTGTTAATATTTTACTGTAAATTATTAATATTTTACTGTAAATTGTTAATATTTTACTGTAAATTGTTAATATTTCACTGTAAATTGTTAATATTTCACTGTAAATTGTTAATATTTTATTGCAAATTAATGTTTTTCTTTATAATTGTTGATATTTTACTGTAGATTATGAATATTTAACTATTATTGTTAATATATTGTGCTGTATCATTACTATTTTACTGTAATTTGTTAATATTGTTAATATATAACTGTAAATTGTTAATATTTGATTCCAGGGAAGACAGTTGTTAATGAGAATGTTAGAAGTATTCGTATTAAAATTTAAAACTATTGCTAAAACTCAACTCCCATTAATATTACAAAAATGGTAGGTATTGATTAATTTGATTAAAATAATTAGTAACGTCTGGTTGTATGGCATCCACACATACTTCGTCTTATACCTTGCCTGCAATAGTCACTTTTCTTGTATCATGGAATACAGCAATTTGAATGGATTGTACGCCAGTGAATTCTGCCAATCATAGAAGACAGAGTGACAGAATGCCTAGATTAATAGCTGTATTTACAAACTTGAGTGAGGTCTGAAAGCTGCCTATTGCAGTTGTAATTAGAATTTGATGTTATACAAAAATAAGAATCAATGAATTTATCCCAAGGTATAAGACACATCCACAAAATAAATGGTGTTTTTATACGCCCACATAAAATGGGGGGTGTATATTGCCGTCACCCCCTGTCCTTCCGTCCGTCCACAATTGCTCGTAAACACTCTACAACGTACTATTTTTGACTGATTTCGACGAATCTTGGTATGGTTGTTTGTCATCACCCAAGGATGAACCCTATTGAAAATCGGAAATATCGAAAAATATTTAGTATGAGTTATTGCCCTTGTTCTTGAAACGCTCGTAAAGACTCTAGAAGGTGCAATTCATGATGGATCTTGATGAAACTTGGTGTGAGTGTTTGTAATAACCCAAGGATAAACCCTATTTAAAATCAGAAAGATCGAAAAATAATTAGTATGAGTTATTGCCCTTGTTCTTGAAACGCTCGTAAACACTCTAGAAGGCACAATTCATGATGGATTTTGATGAAACTTGGTGTGAGTGTTTGTAATCACCCAAGGATAAACCCTATCGAAAATCTAAATATTTTTATTCAAAATTATTATATTACCTTGCCTGGCAAGCTATCTTTTGATTATATTTCAGTAAACCACAGCAACCGGCTACAACAGAGAGTAAAACATTAGATGGAGTGAAGAGCCCAGTTGATGTCAAACCGTTTGTGAATACAGATAATAAAGAAGAGAAAGTCTTCTGTCCGTCACTGATATCTTCAGAAGTCAAAGATAAAGAGGAAAAGGTACAGTGTCATAATTTCTGATCTTATTTTGTGCCACTTTGCATATGAGTTTTTCAACTCTGCATTCATTCAGAGCCTGCATTGCTAATAATATACAGTGTACTCTTTGATATCTGACATTCTGTGTAATCAGACATCATTTCCTGGTCCCAATTGATTTCCTTCTTAGGCTAGCTTTAAAAAAAACTCTGTGTACTCCGACATTCAGTGTATTACGAATAACGACGCTTATCAGTGGTCCTGACACTCAGAAAAATCTGGATAATCCAACATCTACTCATCACAACATTAACCCTGTGAACACGGTAATCACGAGAGGTATCGAACGCAGCATAAGTTGTTATCCGTGGACAAAATGATTGTTTTTCTCGGCTCTGATTTTGTTATGATATAATTTCAGACTACAGGAAAATTAGGTTCCACAACAAGTCAGTATAATGTCTATACTGTGGCTGATTGTAGAAGTTTGGTAAAAACATTAGTTTGTGGAGTTAAAACTATAACTTGGGGTGTTCTGTCTTGTAAAGCTATAGGCACAGGTAGGTATTTATAATATAAAGAGGGGTTGAGACCATCATCAAAATGTCAACCAGACTTTGACTAACACCTTAACAGTAATAGTCACCATTCTTGTATCTCGCAAATTTGTAAACAAAGCGATTTAATTGGATTGTACGTTAAGGCTCCCGCACACGGAGAGAATTTGTCACACGTCAATAGCGCAGCGCCAATGATCCGTGCTAGTTTCTCACCACACTACTCCCCGTACATGACGCGCCTTTCGCTCAACTATATCTGACGTCAGCCTATCACATGATCAATCAAAATGGCGGATTACTGTGTTAGTCACGCTTGTCCATGTCTTTGAATTCAGGAGATCGGATATTATAAAGGCAGGGGTAATCTTGCCATAATTCAACAAATTTAACCTCAAGGATTGCTTCTGTCACCTCTTCACTGGGCGCCGCCATCTTTGAATACCAATAACGCATGCGCGTTGTGTTCGTCATCTGAGAAAGTCGCGCACGGTTACTCACACAATGTGTGTCCTCGGCCACGAGTGGTCAAAAATATCAAACACGATAGATATTTTCCACATGACCACGAGTTGCCAAATGGACACTAAAAATTACCCGCGCTGTGCCATTTTCTCTCCGTCTCCGTGTGGCTATTTCAGACAAGGTTCGTTAAAGCTTGACAGACCTAAAGTAAAAGAGTGACTGAATTTTTAACCGTCTGCTAGCAACTGAGAGTATCTGATCAATCACTCCATGAAGTCGATCTGAGTGAATAGATTAAAAAATTGCCAATGCTGCTTTCTAGTTGGATGTTGTCATGGACAGGGCCTTATATTCTCAAAACGATATTAACGATAGGATGTCCTAGGGTCTTAATTTCTAACGCTGGTCCAACCATCCACTTGATCACAAATGTTTCTCATTGCAAAACTACATGGCCCTCTACGTTTTTATACGCCCACATGAAATGGGGGGCGTATATTGCTGTCACCCATGTCCGTCGGTCCGTCCACAATTTTTAGCTCTTAAACACTAAAAGACACAATTCTTGACGGATTTTGACAAAACTTGGCATGAGTGTTTGTAATCACCCAAGGATAAACCCTATTGAAAATCAGAGGAATTGAAAAAATATTTACTATGAGTTATTGCCCTTGTTCTTGAAACACTAAAAGTCATGATTCTTGCCGAATTTTGACAAAACTTGGTTTTATTATTCAGTACCACTCTGAAGATTGAATATTTGCCTTCTAGAGTTTTCACGAGCTAAAAATTGAACACGTTTTCAAGAACATGGGCAATAACTCAATATTATTCAGTGTCGCTCTAAAGAGTTCAAAAGAAGTGTATGTCTGAAGGTTGAATATTTCATACTGGAAATTGTTACTGTACTGCTAAATATTTTTATTCAAAATCAGAGCTGCCAGTGGGCGTATTTTACCTTGCCTGGCAAGCTATCTTCATTAGATTAAAACATAGGATGTTCAATCGATTTCGTTTCGTTTCGTTTCAGCTGAAATGAGCCTAGTTCAGAACAAGATGTTTTTATCTAAAGAAACATTAGTATATGTAAGATTAGTGAAATATGCTTTAAAGGCTCTAGATATATATACTATTAATGTAACTTCGGCAGGTCAAGCCTATATCAGACCAGCAGCGTAAGTATTACTATATTGGTATATATAAGGCCATACAAAATAAATACTCTGTTTTACAGGCCTTTTTTTCAAAAATCGGGGCGAGAGGGAGAATTTATTATTAAAGTTAAGATTGCATATATACGCGTCATGTGGATCCCTCATGCGTCATCCGTCAAAAATCGAAATGGTTGGTTTAAGAGGGTATGATTCCATATATGCGGAAGCGGTATCCGTCGAATGGTCTCCGTCATGCGTCAAAAAAAAAATTGCCGGGTGTAGCGATTTTTGACGCACCCGGACGCCTTTCCGAGCAGAGATCTCCCAAATGTGACGTATTTGGAATATGGAATATGGAATAACATTTGACGCATGACGGATCCGCAAGGGCCATTTATGTCCGCATGACGCGTATATGGAATCTTAGCTTTATAAGAGCTTTTAAGATTTTCAACTGGAATAAATCCGAGCGAGCCAAAGCATTTATTATTTATTACCACAAATTTAATGTACATTTAATATTGAGACAACAATCAGGTATTTTTGGACCTGTAAAACAGACTATTTATTTTGTATGGCCTAAATGAAAATAGGAATGTCAGAATTTTGAAATTGTGAAAAAGTTCTGTGTGTGTCCCCTCTATACACAATGCAATGAAAAAGAAATACTGCTTTAACTCCCTAGGCACCTTCAGAAAAGGTAATAAAACTTAAAGATGGGTTTCCTTATTTTATAGTGTCAAGATAAGCAAACTATTTGATTAATTGGTGTTTCTAATGAATTAGCATGTATTCTTAATCATATCATTATGTTCTTATTGCATATAATTAAGAGTTTTAACCAATCATAAATGTCCATGTATGAACAGTCTGGATAAACAAAAAAAAAAGACTTTTTGACCTTTCTTGATCGGTCACTCATTGGAATCCTGCTGGTAATTCTCTTCTAATTTAGCTAATTATGAATTAATTATAGACATGTGAGACAAACTGGTATTTTTCCAAGTCATTAGAACACCTCTACTTTCTATTCATATAAGTATTAGCATTTTCATTTTCATAAATGAAAATAAGGGAACCCATCTTTAAATTTAGTCCAATTTTTTTCTGTTCCTCTTTGGATATAGGACCTGTCACTTCTGAAAATAAGTGACCAATTAAATTTATAACATGAATTGTAGGGTACAAACAGTTCGAACTAAAGAGGAAAAGGAAGTTTTAGAACATTTTGCTGGAGTTGTAAGTAATTAAACCAAATCTTACAAATTGATTTGATGCTGTGTCGAAATATGTTTATACGCCCACATTATAATGTGGTCGTATATTGTCGTCGCCCCTGTCCGTCCGTCCGTCGGCCCATCGGTCGGTCCAATTGGCTTGTTAACACAATAGAGTCAATAGTTTTCATCCAATTTAAATGAAATTTGGTATGATCAATTATAATGATGAGATCTTAGACATGTTCGAATTTGACGATCTTTCGATGAGCATTTTTGAGTTATTGCCCTTGATTTATGAAAAATTTGTTTGTGAACACAATAGAGAGTACAGTTTTCATCCAATTTAAATGAAATTTGGTATGATCAATTATAATGATGAGATCTTAGACAAGTTCGAATTTGATGATCTTTCGATGAGTGTTTTTGAGTTATTGCCCTTGATTTATGAAAAACGCGTCAAAATTTGTTTGTGAATACAATAGAGAGTACAGTTTTCATCCGATTAAATGAAATTTGGTATGATCATTTATAATAATGAGATCTTAGTCAAGATTGAATTTGACAATTTTTCGATCAACATAATTTGAGTTATTGCCCATGACTTGGTAAAAACGCATCATAATTTGTTGGCGATAGAGGTGACAGTTTATGTCAGAATTTTATTAAATAATGTGTGTTTGTTTAAATCAACAATATCTTGCACTAATTAGATTTTTGGTATGATTTGACACAGATGGGTGACTGCCCTTGATATACTGAAAATGTATCAGGAAAGTGGGCGTATCTTGCTAGCCAATCACTTGTGTATTAAAAAAAGCAGTCAATATTTTATTATAGATTTAATTGTGAACCTGGCAATACTCGACTGAACCGGCTTTAGTGGAGAAATTCTTTAGATCATGGATTCTGAGTGTATTAACGTGCAGTAGAAACCTAGCATCTACAACTGCATTGTAAAAATACTAAGTTTGATGATTGATTTGAAATGAGGCTGCGTTACATTAAAGTGATACTACTTCCTAGAATGAATATAAAATTTAATTTCTCAAAATGGTCAATATGAGTATATATTCATCAGTGAACTTACCTGGTGTCATAAAGTTACAACAGAATCCCTGGAAAATTGGAAAATTCATAAAACTAAGTAATTATTGAAAAACACCTAATCTTGATATTAAGCGTTACTCAATAGTTAATTGAATATTTATGGATAATTACTAAGTTTTTTGGATTTATCGGATTATATAAGGATCCTGTTATGTTATTTATGGATAATTACTAAGTTTTTTGGATTTATCAGATTATATAAGGATCCTGTTATGTTATTTATGACACCAGGTATATCTACTGGCTCTTATTCGCCAAGTTTATAATTTTTAAATTTTATGTTAATTCTAAGACGTAGTATCACTTTAAATATTAATTATATTTGGTTTCAGTTTACTATGATGAGTTCGTTTACATTTAAA